GGCGCTCAAGCAGATCGTCGAGACCAAGGGCTCTGTCGAAGCCTACGCCGCCGACCTCTATGCGGCATCCATCACACAGAAGGACGTCACCACACCGTCCGCGGCTCGTGCTCTTCGCGACGCAGGCACCTATTGGCACGCCTACATCCCGCGACTGACCCCGTACTTGGACGAGGAAAAGTACTGGACACCAGCCGTCATACAGACGTACGCTCGCATGTGCCTCCGATTCCGTGTACGTTCGCTTCATCTCTCCCTCGCGCCCAGAAACCTCGCTTACGTCTCCCTTGCAGACCGAGAATACCGAAGGGCGTGGCCCGAAGGATCTCACCACCGGCAAGCGTCCCATGGTCACGGCCTCGACGGTCGCCAAATGGGCGATGTCGTTTATCAACGCTATCGTAAAGTATTGTCATGACCCCGTCACCTTTCAGAGGAACGGCGTCAAGATTCTCGTCAGTGGCCTGTACGCGGATATGGCCGCCGAAGTCAAAGATCGTACGTTCGCCTCTTGCACCCCCCCCCTTCCCTGCCTGGGTTGACTCGAGATCGTAAAGTCGTCCACGAGCACAAGCTCGTTCGCCACCGTAAACAAGCACTCTTCTGGGGCCGGCGCGAAGTCCAGAAGCTCATCCAAGAGGGACTCTCCGACTCTTCCAAGATCGGCCGCCTGTGTCGCCTACAGACGATCGTCCTCATCGCCTGCGCCTTCATATTTTGCTGGCGCGCCGGTACCCCTACCTGTTCGTATCCGGAATGGGCGGAAGAAGGAAAGTTCCTCATGTGGGAATTCACCAAATTCGAGCGTCTCGCCCCGGGAGTCTTCCGCGTCACCCTCAGGCTCAGGACGTGGAAGGTGAAGCCTGCCGTCGTCTCTGCGAGCTCCTTCTGACCCATCTCGCTCTCACAGGGGGAAACCGGCGTCGCGGCCACGGAAAGGGAGTACGTCCTCGAGTCCGTTACGAACGCCCACAACGTCCTGTTCGACGCCGCCATGTGGTTCGTGCTCTTTGCCTGGCTCCGTGGCATCTTTGGCGACCTGTCGTTCGACGAGCTCATCAACGGTGAATCGTTCGAGATTGTCAAGTTGTCCAAGTTCGACGACAAGCCGGTGTATGTACCCCCTCCCGCCCCTCGTGTCAGCCGCTCACACTCCCTCGCGATCAGCTTCTGCGCGTTTGCCGACAACGACCTCGTCGTGACGAAGCCGGCCCTCTCCAAGCAGGCTTACGAGACGACCAAGCTGCTCGCTGTCAACGCAGGCCTACCGGCAACCGGCGTCCTCACCGCTCTTCGCCACGGTGGTGCCAATGCCGTACGTTTTTTTTCTTCAATCTCACCGTTCGAAACTCAACGTGGCAACGCATCGCAGTGGGCTCTACAAACAATGTCTGAGATCTCCGCCACCGTGCTCGGCCACACCGACAACTCGCGCAACCGTACGCTCCACAAGCACTATCTACGAGGCACCGGCGATCTTCCTCTCGTCGCCATTCGTCTGGGCGCGTACAACCATGAGATGTCCGATCTGAACAGGGTGAGCCGCAGCACTCACCCGTGCCCTTACTTCTACTTTAGCTTCTCACCTGTGCTGTTCAGACCCGCCTCCACATGCGCGATATCGACTCTGATGCCGTAGTCGCCCTCGCCGGGTTCACCGCGCTCGAGCGCGAGCGTAAGCGCCTCGCCGAGCTCCTTTCTCCCGACGATGATGACTCTGCCAACGCCCGGGTCACAACCCACACCACCAACCGCCGCACCCAATACGGTACTCGCTCCGTCGACGTCGATCTCACGCAAGAACATCGCCAGGAGATTCAGGTCAGTCGCAAAAGCCTCGTTCCCCCGTCGTCGTCGTCGTCAGCGGCTGATGTTCGTCACAGGATCGGATGCGGCCGCACTACGACACGATGGACGCCACTTACGCCCGCCTGCTGACAATCGTCGACGGCGCCGAGAGCCACGGCTTTGAGCCCAACCTCGATCACGACGCGGCCCTCCGCCCCAAGTTCAGCGCCATCCTGGGCCGCGCCGTCAACTGCCCGAACATCGACCAGGCCAAGGAGGCGAGTGTTCGATCTTTGTCCTCATCTACATTCGAGACTAATACCTCGCCAGATCATCGCCGAACTCGATCAAAAGTACGCCGACAAGGTCAAGCTCAAGCGCTCGGTCACCAACACCGTCAAGAAACGCGTTCGAGCCGAACAGGACGACATCCTGCGCCACTTCCAGAAAACCAACGTCAAGATCACCGACCGTACAGATGCCGTCACCGCCACCGCCGACCCTTCGGCTAGCGCCGCGCTCGTGGACGTCGCTAACGCCCTCAAGTCCGTGTCCGCTTCGTCCTCGACCGCAACCCCGACCATGGCTGATACCGAGGCTGACCGCATCGGTACGCGTCTCCTATCATCTTCCTTCGCCGAGGACATCGGCCCTGACTCCCGTCTCCCTAGCTCGAGCAAAGGATGCCATGCGCCACCTTCACGTTCGCGGCCCCGCGTCTGACGCGCCTCTCCCCGGTTCGTCGCTTCCCCTCCACCGCTTCAAGAGAGCATGACTGACTCGTCAATCCAGATATTTCCACCTCTTCCCAGGACAAGATCGCGAGTTGGGCGAGACTGCAAGCCGAAGTCGACTCGCGCCTAGCGCGTGGCCGGCCCGACGACAGCGACGACGACGATGACGGCGAAGAAGAAGAGGCCTTCGCCGAACTTCGCCGCAACATCCCGCCGCATCTCGGTACCTTTGACTTCGGACAGGACGACGAGGTCGAAGACGATCAGGGACAAAGCAAGGGCAAGGGCAAGGGCAAGGCCAAAGCACGTCAACCCCGCACCGTCGACACCCAGGCGATCGACGAGCAGATGCACCTGATCAAGAATGAACCCCTTCCCGACGTCACCGCGAAGATGCTCAACGACAAGGACGATCCGGAGCTATTCAAGAACTTCGACGTCCGCGTGCTACGTGCCGGCCTCATGGCGTATGCGGCAGGCCCGGTACTCGAACATCGTAGGCGTCTACGAACCTACTTCGTTCGTCCAGTCCCGCTCGCACCCTTTCCTCGACTTGTACTGACCACCCGATAGAAGGAAGAGGAACCGGACAAGAAGAAGAAGTGGGTTTGCGACCAGTGCGGGCAAGCCTTCAAGGCTTGGGACAATCTCGATCGCCATCTAATGTACGTTCGCGAACTTCCCTTCCCTCGCCACCGAGCTGACGCTTCGTACTGCAGAACGCTTCACACTCCGTGGCGCATCTTCTATAACGGGCTTCCCAACGCCGTCAACAAACGCCACTTTTGTCCCGCCTGCCCAGACCGGTCAGTGCGCTCCTCCCCCATGCGTTCGTTGACCCTTGCTCACCGAAACCGCTCAGGGTGTTCAACCGCAAGGACGATCAACTCCTCCACTTCATCTCCACCGACTGCGTCAATCATGAAACCTATCGCGAATGGCTCATCGGTCACCGCGAAGCCAGCATGCACCAGTCGCACCACACCATCAAGGGCCAGTTCATCCAAGCGCACTGGCTTCTCTCCGCGGTACAAGACGTCGAGGTCGCGGACATTCTCGCAAACACGCAGGACGTCACCAAGGCTCGCGACGCCTTCCTCGCTCGTCATCCCATTCCCGAAGACGAGACGAAGCGCACGGCGAGCAAGAAGACCGCCGCCGGCAAGACTGCGAAGGCACCGAAGGCCAAGTCCAAAGGCAAGAAAAAGGCGCCGCCTCCGGATAGCGATGTTGAGGTCGTCAGTGACGACGGCGACGCGGGCGGCGACGACGGTGGAGCGGGCAGCGACGACGCTGATTATGCACCTGGTCCCTCGTCTGCACCGTCCAAGCGCCGCACGACATCGCGCACCAGGATCGTCGACTCGGACAGCGAGAGGGAGGTCCCTCCCGCTCCCGAGCCCGAGCCGGAACCTGCACCCGCTCCTACCAAGCGTAAGCGCAAACCTCGCGCCCCCGCCGCTGGTCCAGTTTCGTCCCTCGCCTCGGTCAATGGCGAACAGCTCCTCGAGCAATTCACGAGCGCCAACATCGCCAGCGCGGCCGCAGCTGCAGAGGCAAGTCTGCATCGCGTTTCCCATCCGCGTTTACCTGCTAACGTGTACCACTACAGTTTGAGCTGGACGAAGACAGCGGCCTCTTCCTCGACGAGCTCTTTAACGACACGCGGGAGTTGTACCAGGCCGCGGCGCGCGGAGGTGTGCAGCACGAGCACGCTTCTGCCTCGGCGGCGTCAGAGTCGGTCGAGGGGATCCTCGAGGCATTGGGTGTGGGCGACGACTCGATGGATGTTTCATAGCACATACAATGTACAATTACGCGCATACATATACTCTTTTCGGTCTCTACGACGCGCACCTCAGCCTCAACGCGCTCAGCTTGACCTCGCACATCTCCCGCTCCTCCCGGTTCCTCTCTCGGGCCGCTTGATGCTCTTCGATGCGCGCCCGTGCAGCGGCCTCTTCAGCAACCGCGATTGCGACCTTCGCCTCTGCAGCACCAACCTCGGCGCGCGCAGCGTTCTCGCGCGATATAGCAGCAGCAGCCTCGGCGCGTGCGGTGTTCTCGCGAACGCGACAAGCATCTTCCTCGATCTTGGCTGAGCGCACCCTCTCTGCGACCTTTACAAGCTGGTTCCGGAGTGATATCTTGAGGATCTCTTTCATAGTGCCGACGGCGCTATTGAAAAAAGGCGTGTGTGAGCAAGGGCGCGCATATATGCACCAACGCGCCACATACAGGGTCGCCGCAACGTCGTTGGATATCGGCGCCGGCGCAGCCGCTGTAGACGTCTTGCGCTTTTTGGTAGAGGATGATGCGGCGGCGGACATGATGGGTACGGCGGATAGCAATATGAGTAGCGATAGCTCGTGGTGGGTGGAGGTGAAGGAGGAGGACAGACCGACGCGCGCGGCCAAGTCGCGAACCACGTGGTCGCGTCGGCGCAAGCAAAAAGCCTCGTACCAACCAAAAGAAAGTAGCCCACCGCGGGACTCGAACCCGCAGCCTTGTGATTACGTTGAACCGTTAGGTAGTCCGTAAAAGTCACACGCTCTAGCCGATTGAGCTAGGCAGGCGTTGTAGATGTGTCTTTGCAATGCTTCATGTACCTTCAATCTCCATCCGGTCTTATCGCAGTATCGCACTTATCGCACTGCTGTACGTATACCCTTCCTGTTCGGATTTGGAGAATACTCCTATTGGCCGTAAAAGTCACACGCTCTATCCGATTGAGCTAGGCGGGCCATGGATGCTGTGTAGCGCAATTGTACATAGCCTGAACTGGCATCAAAGTTACAGTAGCTTCTCACAGTGCTCAGGCTTTACAACGCTAGCTTCGAACCTCCTCAGACTTTCATTGTGAGCAGGTCTCGACTTTTTGTAGCACCGTGTCCGCGGCGACTCATAATATTGCCTGTCAGGGGTGCCGGAGGCTGCTTTGACCCCGTCAATATCTTGCCGGACCTGAAATCATGCTCCGAAAATGTTGAAAATGGCTTTCGCCGCATTACGGGAGCCCCCTTCGGTCCTCCTCCTCTAGAAGCTTGGCTATCTCTTCAGCCGCTCTGCGAGTAGCCTTATCGTCTTCTGCGACCGGTGGATCATCCGCGCGCACGCATCACGCCGCCACGAACATCAAATCTGCTCCCCACCCTCAGTTCGCCACAAGATCATAACGTTAACGTACATCCCGAGCTTGTTTGCCCTGACGAGAGATACTCAAGAAGCGCGTGCAGTCCCTTACGCTCCTTGCTTTTCGCCCCCACATCCCTTCGCCATGGCCGACCGACGCGACTCGCACAGCGACTCGTCCACGTTCGTCGATGATGACAAGGAGCTCGTCGCGCTCGGCTACAAGCCCAGCTTCAAGCGCGAGTTCAGCAATCTCGCTACGGTGCGTAGACATGACCATGCCGACATTGCGGCAAGGCAGCTCACGCGAGCATCTACAGATTAGCTTCGCGTTTAGCATCATGGTACGCAAGTCCTGGTCAGTATACGCTCTGATGCTGAGGACGCGCAGGGCCTCTGTTCGTCGGTTGCGACGACGTTCAATACCCCACTGTTGACGGGCGGACCTGCGTCGGTGCGTTCCCTCTTTCGTCGCAGATGTTCCCAATCATTGAGTTGTGGCGCTTGTAGGTCACCTGGTGTTGGATTCTCGGCGCTACAATGTGCTTCACGCTCGGTGAGTTGATCCCCCGGACTTGTAGGCGCCTGTGGTGCCCCTCAGGCTCAAGTTACCTTACGCTTGACGAGCGCGCGATTGCGAAGGATGTTTGAAGTGTTTGGAGCGGCATGCTGACAATCGAGCTTTGCAGGCGCCTCCATCGCCGAGATTGTATCCGCGTTCCCAACGTCCGGCGGTCTGTACACGGCCTCCGCTAAGCTAGTCCCGGAGAGGCATCGTGCTATCGTTGGCTGGGTCGTAGGGTGGCTCAATATCTTGGGTCAGGTCGCCGGCATATCGTCGACGGAGTTCGGCTTGTCCAACATGATTTGGGCTGCCGTGGTCATCGCAAAGGACGGCAACTACGAGGTGACGAACGGCAAGATCGTTGGCTTGTTCGTCGGGCTGCTCTGCTTCCACGGCTTGCTTGTAAGTCGCAGTCGCGTACTTTGAGGACAGAAGAGAATACTCACATGAACCGCAGAACTGCCTCGCTACGCGTTATCTCGCCAAGCTTACGACCGGCTTCGTGTTCGTCAATCTTGGGGCGACTATCAGTGCGTTCGCTCTATATATCCACATGAGTCCGTATTCACATGCATTAAATTCCAGTCATTATCATTGTGCTGCTTGCGACGACACCGCTGCATGAGATGCACTCGGGCCCATACGTCTTCGGCTCTGAGGGCATCATCAACGAGACGAATGGATGGCCAGACGGTCTCGCTTTCTTGTTCGGCCTCCTCTCCGTACAATGGACGATGACCGTGAGGCAGCCTTTTATCGGTCGGAGAGTGTGTATTGATGGCTGCCATAGGACTATGACGCGACGGCCCACATCTCCGAGGAGGTCCGCCGGGCTGCCTATGCTGCTCCTGCGGCTATATTCATCGCTGTGATAGGAACCGGTCTCCTCGGCTGGTTGCTGAACATTACGTTGGTTGTATGCTCCGGCGACTTGTATGTGCAGTTCAGCTTGTGCTCTGAAAGACTCTGATCATCGTCTGCTACAGCGCGAACCTCCCAGGCCCATCAGGTTCTGCCTTCCTGCAGATCATGACGATGCGGATGGGCAAGCCTGGCGCCCTCTTCCTGTGGACGTTCGTGTGCTTCACAGCGTTCTTCGTGTGCCAGACAGCTCTGCAAGCGTGCTCGCGGACGGTCTATGCGTTCTCCCGTGACCACGGTGAGCGACATGCTACTAGAATTCGCGCATGTGGCTGACATCCTGTAGGCCTTCCGGATCGTGGTCTTTTCGGAAAGATCACCCACTTCACCAAGACGCCCATCAATGCCATCTGGGGCACGACGCTCATCAGCATTTTGCCTGGCTTCTTGCAGTTCGCGTCGCCCGTGGCTGCCAATGCAATCTTCGCACTCTGCGCCATGGCTCTCGATATCTCATACATCATCCCAATTTTCCTTCGTCGCGTTTACGAGCACCATCCCGAGGTGAACTTCAAGCCGGGTCCTTTCTACCTCGGCGATGGCATACTGGGTTGGGCGGTGAACATCAACTGCATCGCTTGGACGCTCTTTGTGTCCGTCATCTTCTCGATACCGACGGTCCTCCCTGTCACGAAAGACACGATGAACTACGCGTCTGTCATCACTGGCTCCGTCGTCATTCTGTCCCTAATTTGGTACTTCCTCGGTGGGCGGAAGCACTACAAGGGCCCGGCAAGCAACCTGCAAGCTTCGGATGCCTCACAATCGTCACAACAAGACCCGCCGGTTTACGATGAGAAGGATCAGGTGCACACTAGCGAGAAGGAGGTGGAGGTCTGAAAGGACAGCGGGCGTGAAGACGCTTCGGTGGCCATGTAGGTTTACCAGTGGACCCTGGACAATTCACGACGCCCCCCTACAGTACAATCCAACATTGACTGACTACGTTGTGCAAGAATTACATGTTATTACCCTTAGATACCGTGATGTTGTAGCACTGACTGGATATTCTCTCACAATGCGATGTGCATGCTTTCTTGTTTTATCACACTTTCAAATCCGCGCCCCAGTATGATGCAGAGAGTTCAATGTCAGGCGCTTGCGTCACCGAATTTTGCCCGCAAGCGCGCGTGGCACCGCGTCTGTTCCATCGACGCGTCGCGCTTGCGCGTTCAGTTCGACCTGTACCACCACCACGACGCGATGCCTCCGTATAACGTGAAAATCAAGAATGCGGGCAAGACCTACGACGTTGTGCTTGACACTGATCGCACGCCGGCGGATTTCAAGGAGGAGATCTACCAGAAAACGGGCATTCCTACCGATCGCATGAAGGTCATGATCAAGGGCGGTATGCTCAAGGTATACAGCATCATGCGGTTGTTTTGGCCATGCGTTCAATGCAAGTGTAGGACGAAACCGAATGGAAGAAGGTCGCCCCCAAGGAGGTTCGTGCATGGCAGTAATCTGTGCGCTTCGAGTGTATTGAGTGTCGAAATAGGGCATGACTTTCACGGTGATCGGTACAGCAGGGGAGCTGCCAAAACCACCGGCGCTGCCCGTCAAGTTCTTGGAGGACATGGACGATGCAGAGCTCGCCAATGCAGTGCGTATATTTTCTCGCTGAAATCTCCGCAATGAACGGATAATTGATGATTGCTTTGTAGCTCAATGTACCCACCGGAATGACCAAGTAAGGGCTCATCGCATCACTGAAACCCTTCGTCTAATTGTACTCTAGCTTGGGGAATACGTGTTACATGAGCGCGACTATACAAGCCATGAATGCCATTCCGGAGCTGCAACTAGCACTACAGGCGTACGTTTCGCATCTGGCCTCAAGCCACCGTCTCGAACTGACATGTGCATATAGCGCAAAGCCCGTCGCTTCCCTACCGAGAGCTCTCACTGAGCTATTCACTACCATGTCTCGAACAACAGATAGCGTAACGCCATCATCCTTCCTCATGTTCCTGCGGCAGGCTCAGCCCCAATTCGCTGAGCGTGCAAGAAACAATATGATATTTGCTCAGCAAGGTATGCAGGACGGTATGACGCGTTGGCCAACACTGATCACTTCAACCTGCAGATGCCGAGGAATGTTGGTCCAGGATATTGGAATCGTTACGCGATATACCCGCGATACCTGGTCCGGCAGGCGCACCGAAGCCTCAGGACAAGTTTGTCGAGTCTTTTCTTTCGGGTACTCTAGTTCGCGAGTCAGTACCCCCTCTATTCATGTAGAAGTGTGTATGCTGAGCCCATCTTTGGCTAGACTCAAGTGTGCAGAGGCTCCAGAAGAGGAGCCAACCGTCAGCTCCGAGCGTGTATACAAGCTCGAGTGCAACATCAACGCGAATACTAACTACATGCACTCTGGTATCTCGGACGCTCTTACGCAGACCATCGTCAAGCGCTCACCTACGCTCGGGCGCGACGCTGACTACGCGATGCGCTCGCGTTTTTCGCGCTTGCCAACGTATTTGACTGTACACATGGTCCGCTTTACTTGGCGCCAGGATATCAACAAGAAGGCGAAGATCATGGTGTGTAACATCTATTGGGTCACCTTAGAGGCTTGTTCTTACGCACAATCTAGCGTCAAGTCAAGTTTCCCACAGAGTACGATGCGCTCGAGCTCACGACGGACGATTTGAAGGCGAAGCTGCAGCCGGTCTCGCGGCGCTTACTTGAGCTTGAGAAGGAGCGCCGTGAGAGGCTAAAGGTGCGCAAGCGGACAAAGGCGCGCACTGAGGCCGCCGTTGCATCTGCAACCGCTAACGCAGCGGGCGAGGCGCCGATGGAGGTTGACGAGGCGGCGGCACCCGCTGCAGAGGCGGAGGGTGGCGAGCTCAAGGAAGAGTCGTTCTATCGCGATCAAGAACGTAAGGAGCTTGAGGGGCTCGTTGACCCTGCGATCAAGGCCGACTTCGGTGCGAGCCAGACTGGCCTGTACGA